AAAAAAACAGCAAACTACTGTACAACTTACTGATTGAAGCTTCTTCTTTGCTGCTTTGGCCAATTCTGACAAGTCAAGACTGCTGTATGTAAAATAAAATGAAGACAGCTGTTATCATCTGATCATAAGTTAGTCTAGCAAGACAAACAGGTTATACTTCCATACTTACACATTTCTTATCCATATGGAGCCAGCAAAGAAAACAAATTCTGCAATTAAGTATTTTAATCAAAAACAGATTAAGGACAGGTGTGATACAAAAGCGAGCTTATCCTACCTGTCTGCTATCTGAGGAATTATAAAGTGTTGACCATTTTTATGATCTGAGAAAACAAACAAACAAAAAAAAAAAACAGTCTTTTCAGGCTCTCAAATCTTTGAGGTACATGCTGTACTGTTTTACGGAGATACTGTGGGCTGACCTGGCTTTCTTCCACACAGATAGAACGCTAGTCTATCTGTCAGCTCATACTGGATCTCCACCAGTCTGTCTGCAAGTTCCTGGTGTCCTGCCTGCCTATAGTAGGACATAACAGATCACAGAACATTAAACATAATTGAAAACTTCTAGCTACATTTAATTGAATCTTTGTATTGATCCCTCAGATCTGCTTCTCTCTCACCTGGCGTAGTCAATAGGAGTATTCCCAGAACTGTCTGGTGCTCCGGGATCTGCTCCATACACAGTGAGCAGCTCTGCCTGTAGCAGCTGGCCTGCTTTAGCGGCCACATGTAATGGAGTATTTCCTTTCTCCTGAAGAAAACAAATGACGTGGCATTCACTGGAATAATTCAGTTAAGGACAATACAGCTAAATACCTGCTATGGAGCGCATCCATTAAATAGAAAACAAAGCAAAACAATGAAACCTTATTCAACCTTAGCAGTGGATCAACACAAAGATATCTATATACACTGTCACGCAGAACACATTTGGCCAAAATTGAGTTCTGAAATCACATATCATCAACTATGCTTAGATTCAGATATTTTTTTTTTTGTTTTGTTTCAGTGTTGGTATAGTTATTGTTTTTAATATGTTGTTTTAATATTACATTACCTAGAACAGAAAATGTCGCAGTAGCTTTAAAACTTACTGGATGGAAAAAGTTAGCCTGTGCTCCCAACGACAACAGCCTCAGACACGTTTCCAAATTGCCGGTTCGAACGCTAGAGTGTAGTTGCTGGAAAAAAAAAGGCCGAATTCATGGTTTATTTGGTGGTTTTGGTCTCAAGAACTTGAAGATCACATCAGACGTAGATCTTTGATATGCCTTGTTTGAATCTCAGTTTCATCTCAGAGGTTCTTGTCCACTCATGTCATTACTATTATTATTATTATTATTACATTACCTTGCTGAGGTCTATGGCTGTAACGCTATCATCTTCACGACACGGCATTCGATGAACAAATGCCAGCATTTGATATTTAGCCTTTATGAAATCTGTTTTGTTGGGGCTGAGAGAGAAGATAAACAACAAAGTGAGCATGTTTATGCTGAGAGATTTGCTTGGTTCTAAACGTCACGATATATGGGACTCACTGGACTCTGTCCTGAGGATTGGCTTTGCGTTTTCCACTCGTGATGGAAGATGGATCCAGAAGACTGTGTTCCCAAATTGAATTCGCTCCATTATTGTACAGGGACTTCACCATCTGTGGATAAACAGCAAACACTTCACCTCAACTTCCTCTTTGAGACAGAAAACGTGACTCCAACATCAAGACACATGAGAAGTTTCGAGACGGATGTTGCGGCAGCTTACAGAATTAACCACAGGTCTGAATTTAGCCTAATGCAGTATGACTTGTTTAGCTCTTCTGGTAATTCAAGACATAAGATGGACGTGATGTGTACTGACTTTATCTTGTAGTGTGGTGCGTACAAACAAAGCTAGAATGGGAAGCTGTGCAGACCGTGCGGTGTTCTACTCCTGTCTGAGGAACTGAGATACAACGCCTCATTTCCTTTTAATGAACCTCAGGAAATGCAAAGCTAACCTGGAGATGTGAGGGGGGCCACAGAGTTTGGGTCAAGTGCCGGACCTGAGAACTGTGGCGGCCCAGACCTCGGTGAATACTGCAGCATTCGTCGCAGATCAGAACTCCACGATTGATCGAGGCCCAACGAGGATCTGAGAGGGAGAAAGAAAAGCGTTGCGAGTCATGAAGTATTGCACAACACAGTTACAAATTCCCCTCAAAAGGCAGTTTTCTAGACATGCTTCCTTTAGTCTCATAATGACCCTTACAACTTGTTTGAGCAACAAGTTGCCATACATTTACCTTTATACATGTGACTCTTTTGTACAAACGGACAGATGTGCTTGTTTCAATTGAAGCACAACATGCTCTTTAGATCATTCACAAATAATACATTATCATTAGGATTCAAGTGCTGCTGTCAATAAAGTAAAAGAAGTACCGTAACTTATTTAATGCATTGTTTACATAATAACTCAGATTTTTACGTTTATTCTCAGGTGAGCAACAAATAGCATTTTAACAGTCAGATATAGACCAAAATATAGATTCAATTTATGTAGATCATTTAGACCAGTTGGATCGCAAACAATGCTATATAAATATAAGAGCATATAATAGTTCAAAAAATAATAATAGTACAATAGTTAATAATTATTATTAATAAAAAAGTATACTTAATGTGTTTTTATTGCCGCAGATGATTTTTTATAGTTTTTTTGTGTCAAAATATATCAAATGAAACTAAAACAAATAACCAGTTTTTCATAATGACTATCAGAACGCTAAATAATAATAATAAAACAATCTGTGTAGGTATTAGTTGTTTTAAAAAAAGTGTATTGGCTAATGTATTGGACTACATTTCCCCCCCCTTGTTTAATAACAACTTGTCCATAACCAAGTTATTTCAATTGTATGTTTTATTATAATAACAATAACTGTTACGACAATAGTAACTAGATATTTTGATGGAAACTGGTTTCCATATATTTTTTGAAACGTCTTCCCTTCTCATTAAAATAAAGATTTTGTGGTTTTACTTCGCAGTAGAAATTGAGAAACTACAATGTGTTGGTTGATCCGAATGTAAAAATTAGTTTTTTTGTTTTTTAAACGAGGGCCTGAACATCATCGGTCAGCGGTGTTCTATTCTCCAGAGGGAATATCGGGATTGTTCTTTAACCACCGCGCGCTGTTTTATTCAGACACCAATATCCATGCAATCCCTGAGGATTATTACTGTGTTTGCTTGAGAATAATCTCAAATAAATTCCGTTTCTAAATATCTGTCTGAACAACACCCTGCAGGATCTCATCTGCGTTTGTTTGATGTTTGTTTTGTTTGTCTTACCGGGCGCGCTGCAGTCCGCGCAGATCTCTCTGTTTCGCGCTCTAATGGACATCATACAGCTGCGTCACACGACAATCTAAAACATTAATGTGATTAACGCATTAATGAGGGAAAGGGACAGATGTGAGGAGGACGCGTTTCCCCTTGTTCCTCCTTATTTGACGCGTTTTTTACTTCCTGGAAAAGGAGGAGATCGGCAGTCATGGGCGGGTGTTCTTCAACATGACGCTTTGACTGCAGGCGAGCGACGCGACGCGACCACTATCAACTGACCAATAGCGTGTTAGTTTGTCGCGTGTTGTCATTTTTAGTGTTACCTTCATAAGTGCAAACGAGAGGGGGGAAAAGAGGAATAATTTTTTTTTTTAATAAAATTTAAAAATACAAGTTTTTATTAAAACTTATAAAACAAATGAAAATCCCCCCCCCCCCGAAGAACGTAAACCTTTTGGCCACTTGATTTGCCTTTCTCTGCTCATAAATTACAAGTTGATATTTACTTACCTCAGTGTTGTTTTACACAGTGAACTTTTATCATCTGTAGGAACCTTTCTTTGTTCTATTCATCAATTATATGGGTCATGTTGGTGAGTCTCGAAGGAATTTTTCTCCCTGAAAAACTGAGATTAATTGGGGCATTTAGAAGAAAAGGCCCTAGAGATCTCCAAGCAGAGCATGTCTCTAAATGAGCAATTACTGCAATTTACCTTCTCAAATGAAAAAGCCCCCCCCCCCGGAGAACGTAAACCTTTTGGCCACTTGATTTGCCTTTCTCTGCTCATAAATTACAAGTTGATATTTACTTACCTCAGTGTTGTTTTACACAGTGAACTTTTATCATCTGTAGGAACCTTTCTTTGTTCTATTCATCAATTATATGGGTCATGTTGGTGAGTCTCGAAGGAATTTTTCTCCCTGAAAAACTGAGATTAATTGGGGCATTTAGAAGAAAAGGCCCTAGAGATCTCCAAGCAGAGCATGTCTCTAAATGAGCAATTACTGCAATTTACCTTCTATGTCTTCGAAAGTCATCTTCGTAGATAAATTACAATTAAATAATTATTCATTAAAACATTATGGGATAAAGGGAGTACCACTTTCGGATCTTAAATGTAGAGTTAATTCAGGTAAATTGGGACACTTTGGGCATTGGGGTAAATTAGTAGTTTACACCGATTAATCCTACTAAAATATATTTAAAAAATGTACAGTATGTGCCACAGCCACAAGGTGGAGACAAACACTAACAGAGTTCAAGCAATAAAAATGTTATTGTAATAGTCCATTTGATATATTTTATGATTGTCTTCCACACTTTATTGTATGTATAAATATTGTTGAGAGGAAAAAAATAATAAAAAATAAAGTTAAAATTCAGAAAATGTAGCAAGTGATAAGAAATGCAATAAAAATCTCTTTTAAATACTTTTATTCATTCCACCTATTCTTGACAACACAAATTGTATAGTTATTTATTTATTTTTCTGAAAGGTTTTCAGGCATCCTACAGTGCAGCCAGCGCATGTAGGATGTGCACTGTACACAACATATACATACATTGCAGTATAATTGTGTGTATATACATTTGTAAAGAAAATTTTAAATAATTAAAATAAAAACCTCACTGTTGTAATTACAATTCATATTTTCTTTTTGTTTTCCTTCAATGTTTCAGGAAAAATAAAATAAACATAAAAAACAACCCGGTGTGTTTTTACCTCAGTGTTTTGCTCCTGGCTTTGACATGACCTTTAAATAAACATCATACATGAATTTCCCATCTATCTCTAGACCATAACAGTCATGGCCATAGGAAAGCAACCATCCTGTCTGTGTACATAGGCTACAGTACAAAATAATATTGTCAGCAGAACTTGAAAAATAATACTTTTAGGGCCTGACAGTGAGCAATGTGGCACCATTGCTGTGGCCTCCCAATGCTTGACATCAAAAGACATTATGCCTTCTAAATCACCCGTGCTTCCAAACCCAGCAGGTTATGTCCAAATGAAGGATCGTCTTTCAGCTAGAAAATACATTCACACAGACGGTTCATGTGGAGTTTCAGCAGTACTTACACACTCTACTTGAACACGCATTGCACATTTAATACTGCATTTTGCTTTAATGACTATGAGGATGAATACAGACATGAATGAACTGTAGTCCCTTTCCTGGATTGATTCCTATGATCAAAGTATCAAGAAAAATATATTTTGTGTGTGGTCTGCCCTTAAAAGCTAACTGACCCCCTAGCATGAACAGTGCAAGCTGATCACTACAGCCTGCAGAAGATATTTTTAGTTATCTACTATTTTCTAATTGCCATTGTTGCTTAAAGTAGGATAAGAGGTCTGCCACTAAAGCCAACAGGGGTTGCAGAGGCTCCGAAACACACGTGCCCAGAATCTCACAGGACAAAATGATCATCTAAGATCCATTTGCTTTGAATAAATTGGACTGGCTCATAGTGACCACATTAGACCAGTCCATCTGAGACAGTTTCACATCACATAAGACAGCAATCATCTGTCTCTTTTCATTAGTTCATACACTGGTTTAAACAATGATAGATACTAAAGGACTAAAAACAATCTACACCAATCAGAAACTAGTGGAAGACTCCACAAAAAAAACCTGATATTGAAATATACAAATTAGAACTTTAGATTGATTGTGAAATTGCTGTTTAGAAATAGATCAAACCAATTAAATACATTTCTAATTTTATTTTTGGCCTGTTGAACTATTCTTGCTGAGGAGGGAAGGAGGGAACATGATCGGGAATTAAAACAAGCTAGACTCGAACCCATGTCGCCCATATGAGCACCAATGGCTCAATATCAATAGAGGCCACTCTAGGACTGTAGCTCCAACTATAAAAACCATCAACTCCAGTACTTGTGTGTGGGAGTTTGTATGAGAATTTTTTTTGCGTATGACACCTCAAGAGGTTAGAGCTAACCTTTTTTATGAGGTTGATTTTTTATTATGTAAGTTTCTAAACAGTTTCTCTTTATCAATTCAAGCATAACCTGGATTTTTCACAGTTCCGTCTTAACACACCAGCTGCTGGTCTTTCTGTAAGAACACTTCAAGATAAAAGTCTCTCCAGCTCTACTACACTAATAAAACCATACTTTCTCACATCACATGACCAGTGTGCATCTCTCACCCGTCCAGCAGCTGGTTCAGCATCAAAACACAAAAACAACATACAACATGAAAAAAAAAAATCATGGAATGGCTTTAAAATCAAAGCTTGGCAATATGAAGTTGTGTACAGCTGCCCGCAGGATATAAATGAACCCTGAGGGAGAACAGAAACACATTCATGTAACAATAACTCATTCACAAATGAATGGATGCTATTGGCTGGAGTGGACCTGCTGTAGTTAACCACTAATATTCCACAACCGTTACTGCATGAGAGGTTTGGTTGACTTGATGGCTGCATCCCAATTCCCATACACTTCCTCACAACAGAGCGCTGAAGTGATGACACATTTTTGCAGGACAAAAGTTAGTATCACCCTGATTCCTTCGCCAAAAACCCAAAAGGATTTTTCCATTGGCTTTAGGTTTATTGCAGAAAATAAGCCCTGTGACCAAAAGTCTACGATCATGATAGTCTTCAAAAGTGATCACAACTTTGATTGTGATTCGTCTTTACATAAAACTTTAAAAGATGGATTTTGCTTTTCATTGCCTAACAACATCTGTAGTCCCATTTAGCCACTTGTTAGCAACCATCTTTTTAAATAAAACTTTGGGTCCCGCCCCAAACTCACGCTATTGTTTGAGCCAATGCTGTGTCAAGATGGTTGGGATGTTTTGATAGCACCACAGAGCCACAGTGTTTCACTTTTCAGGGAAATCAAGCTAAAATGGATTTCTTATAGTTTACTCTGCACCAGACCCAGAATTAGATCACTGAGGGTGCTTCTGAAGTTAGCTTGATCTAGCCTTAGTATGTTTTTGACCCATCCATTGCTATGGTTATCACTTTGTCAATCAGTGCTATTTCGAGAGAGAATCCTGTATAAATATGCAGAATCATTCCTGAAACTTTGGGAACAAAGTATATGGTATATGATTTTACCGTTCAACCTTAGTGACCGTGGCTCTTTCGCCATTGCAAATCAACCAATCAGAAGAAGTCATTCCTCCAAACAGGGGAGGATAAACCAGTTGCATATAGTTGATGCACCATGGCACAAGCTATCAAGGAACCAGCCTTGATTCTCCATGGAAGCCTGTTACAAATGTACTCTGGCAACAAATATAGCTCTACATAGAAATTATATGTCTTCATGTGTATCATAATATCATTCAATTCCATATTTTGTTTTTATAAATAAATGTGTACATGTCCACGTAACACTTGCTGATAGCAACTCCATATTTACTTTATCTGGTCCCAGACTCCAAAAGGTTTAAAAAAAGGGATGCTGTCGAGTTCCAACATCTGCTGAAGGTTTCCGAGTGTTTGAACCAGAGAGTCTGTGTCCATTTTGCAGTTACAGTTGAATTGTTTTGGTTGTGTTTGTTTTAGCCCTGGATGAAAATACCAATCAAGCGACTGCTTTCCTTTTTTTCCCCATCTCTTTCATCACGGAGGAGACAGAGAACTTACAGTACTGGGTTTCCTTCAGTGTCTGCTGTCAGCTGGCCTGTGAGAGCCGTTCAGTCAGTGCCGCCCACTTACCATGCCAGCTCAGCTCAGCTCAGCGCATCTGATCGCTTACATGTGGAGATGTTCATCACATTCGCTGAGCCGGGATTCTGTTTGTCAGTGATAGCAACTTTCTTCACTGTCTGAATTGTAGTCTTTTAACCCGATACCTTTCTGTAGCTTCATTAGAGACTCTCTCATCTGTAAACACACAAATACATCTTTGAAATCCTGTAGTGATTGCAGTTTAAAGGAATAGTTCATTCTAAACATTTAGAATATAACCATATGGACCACTTATTTCTTCCAGTTTTCACCTATTGGGGTCCACTGAAGTAAGCAAGGCATATGGGTTTAGAATGACATGAAAATGTGTAAATGATGACAGAATTGAAATTTTTGGGTGAACTATCCCTTTAAGTTTCTTTATTCCTTATTGTTTTACACTCTATATTGTTTTATTAATATGATGCAGTTATGAAAGTTTCACATATTTCAAACTTGTACGCGATCTTACCTCATCTAACAAAAGCACAGATGACTTTATTATTTCCTTCCATTTCTCCAGCTCGTTTTCATGGTAACGCTGCTGAGATTCCAAAAGTTGAGCCCATTCAATCTGTGTCTCTGGAAGTTTACTGCAACACACACAGAGCGAAAAACATTCCTCACACAAGTATAATTCATGTTCAAATGCTGAAAATGTGTTTAATAATCAGTATTTTTTCCTAGGAAAATTTGACTTGAAAAGCAAAATCTGAAAAAGAAAGAAGATAATCAGACCTTTTAGAGAATATATGCTGAGTTAGGTGTGTAATGAAGTAAGAACTTCCATCTTATGCAATGCTGCTTCTCAATTAAATTGATGTTGTAAGAAAACTAACAAAAATACAGATTACTAAAATCATGTTTTGCAGAGTGGCACGAATAGTGCAGGACAAGTTACAAATAAAGAAAATAAACACATTCAAGGATCTAGTTACCTTTCATGAGATCTGAAACCCTGCCGGGAGGTCAAACCCTGAGCAGTGTATTCCAGCATCCAGAGCTTATAAAACAGCATCATGTTCAAAAAGACCAGCAGCACCAGCCTGAGGAACAAAAGAGGACAAACTCAGATCAGCTCATAAACCGCTCTATATCAGCTACATAAAAAAAAACCTCAGTACAGCTGAAAATGTTTTGACAGCATTTATACTCTCATCATTGGCACCGATTTATGTTTCTGCCATGTTTCATAACCATGTTTTGTGTTTTTATTAAAATAAAGTTAACGTTGTTTATTACTTATCAGAACTGTACACACTAAATAAAACCCAATAATCCACACAGAAGATGAAATCAACAAATGCAAGTATTCAATGAAGCCCGTGTGCATTAATGTTTACTTTAACAGTAAATGACCAAATATCCTGCTTATTTTTCCAACTTTGAAGCATAGTCTACTGCCACATAAATCTCCATGCGATCGCCTAAATATGAGCTACTGATAATGATAACTTCTCAAACACAGATTTATCCAGGCCTGCTTCCAGAGTTAAATACTGAGGGTGCTTCAAAAATTAGTGAGTGTGCTCTAGCCTCAATGAACATGTTCACGTATACAGTATTTTTGTCCCATCCATTACTCGTTCGAGTGTGAATCCAGCATAAAATATGTGAATGGCATTCCCGAAACTTTGCAGCGTGTATGTGGCCGAAAAACTAAAGTTTTATACAAATTCTGAATGGATTATATATAGCCTAGAAAGCACACAATGAGCACTCCTTTTATTGTTACTAAAAAGCTGTCCCTTGTCTTAGTTCATCGCAATCTCATGACGTTTTGTTATACTGTAATGAGAGGATTCGTGAGCGTCCGAAACTTAGAAATGTACAAAAACTCTGGTGTTTTGAGTGGATTCTAACTTAAACGCCTCTGATTGGCAATTGCATTCAAGAAATCAACAGGTATGTCTGTGATTGGCTACATTGCTAAACGCTAAAGCACGATGTAAACAGAAACCTTTTGATGCTCTCCAGAGTGCAAACACAAATATGCACTGGATAGTTTGCCCAATCTGTTTTGCCAATATGAATAGAGAATATCTCGAGTTTTTCCCACAGGATCGGTGCCTATCAACATTCATACAGATGAAAGCATCGAATACCTTACACAAATCCTGCAGGATATAATGAAAACAGAAGAGAGAAAAGACATGAAGCCAAAGAACAACAGACTGTAACAAATTCCAGCTGATCAACAGTTTGAGCTACTTATACAGGCACTATGAAACATGTGAAAGAAATAGAGAAACCTTTTAATCTGACACAGACTGACACAGTATGAAGATTAATCAGAATGAAATCAGACCTCAGACTTTAAAAAGGCATACTCTATACCAGGGGTGCCCAACCCTGCTCCTGGCGATCAACTGTCCTGGAAAGTTTAGCTCCAACTCTAATCAAAGGCACCTGCCTTTAATTTTTAAGTGATCCTGAAGACCCTAATTAGTTGCTTCAGGTGTGTTTGATTAGGGTTGGAGCTGAACTTTGCAGGACAGTCGATTGCCAGGAGCAGGGTTGGGCACCCCTGCTCTATACGTTTGTATCATGCTACAGTATGTATAAATCAAATTCTTGTATTTTATACCAGGAAACTTGCTTCATAAATGAGATGCACGTGCTAAAATGAGCAATTTGGGAGAAAAGGAGTGGAGAAAATAAGTTTTTTGTTGTTTAATTCCCACTGAGAATACTCACACAGAGCTGATTATAAGCAGGAGTTTGGAAACACTGTAGAGAGCCAGGCCTTCAGATCCGTGGTCTGGGATGTGTCTGGTCTGTGTGGATCCTGCGACAGCACATACATTATAATCAATAACAGAGAGAGCACTTAAAAAGTACAACAAAACAACATTATTATCCAGGGATAATGCATAAAGTGTCTTTGAGATTTGGCTAATGTCGCACCTGCCACGTGTTTGATGCGATGGATGACACTCTTCTCATCCTCAGGTGTGGTGACGGGACTGAGCGCCTCATCCAGGTGCTGCTGCCTCATGTGCGTCAGGGGCCGTTTCCTCCGCCTCATTGTAGCTGTGCGTAGCGCTTTGGATTTGGGAGACTGTGTGTGAGGTTCAGATAGCACCAGCTGTACCTTACTCAACTCCAGCTCTACACATAGAGCAAAGAGAGAGAAAGAAACAGATATTGTTTTCATCTTTATTCTTTCTATCATGTTCTGTGCGTTTTTATTTTTATTATTTTATTATCTTTTACTATAAAATTTTATAAAATTAAATATTAAAATTAGATCTGATTTTTATTTCATTTCAAGACCATTATTGGCATAAACATTGTTTATCTTCATCATTTTTATTTACATTTAGTCATTTAGCAGACACTTTTATCCAAAGCGACTTGCAAATGAGGACAATAGAAGCAATCAAACCAACAAAAGAGCAGCAATATATAAGTGCTGTGACAAGTCCCGGTTAGTCTATCACGTAGCAAGGTTATATATATATATATATATATATATATCAAAATAAAACAAGTAGTTAGAACAGAAGAAGAATAGAGAGTGCAAGTGTTAGTGAGTCAGGTGTAGATTTTTATACTTTATTCAGCAGTTTTATTTTATTAGTCCCTGCCAAAACTTACCTAAATACCTAAAATATTCATCCAGGCCACTCCAGAAGTTTCGCTCAATGAAGCCTTTGACCAGTCCCCATG